TTATCTCATTCTTGCATTTAACCAGTATTCATTCCCAGGTAGTATGGTAGGCTGTGATGACACAGAACCAAATGAGGCCCGACCCTAATTCTCAGGAGCTGTACCACTGAATGGAAGATGGTTTTATATGTTCTTATACACAGGAAAGAGAGTAGCATACACATGCTTAGATGGATTAGTCTAGAACAAAAATGGGAGGACATACACTCAATATAAAGAGTGGTTATTTTTATACCATATGATCTCACTTATATGTGGGATCTAAAATATGACACAAATGAACTTATCTATGAAACAGACTCACAGACCTAGAGAACAGACTTGTGGTTGCCAAGGGGGAGGGGGGTGGGGGAGGGAAGGACTGAGAGTTTGGGGTTAGCAAATGTAAACTATTATATATAGGATGTAAAAACAACAAGGTCCTACTGTAGAGCACAGGGAACTATATTCAATATCCTGTCATAAACCATAATGGAAGAGAATATTTTAAAAAGAATGTGTATATGTGTATAACTGAGTCACTTTGCTGTACAGCAGAGATCAGCACACCATTGTAAATCAACTACACTTCAATTTAAAAAAATAAAAATAAAAAGATCTAAGAATAAATCCAAAAAAAAAAAGAGTGGTTACCTTTAAGTGGTGGGAGTGTCTCTTGTTGTTTTCCTTCATGCTTAAGCACATGTGTTTTTCTAGCCTTGTGTTTTTCTTCTTGTGTTTGTTTCCTTCTTGTGTTTTGTGCATTGATCCCAGGTTACTTTTGCAGTATGGGGAGGGAAAATGTGGTAATTGCAAAGAAAGAGGCATGATCAATAGTATGAAACACTGCAGAGAGGCCAAATGAGAGTGGAGAGTAAATAGGAAAAAGTCTGCAGGGAGCCTGGATCAGACAGTTGTCCTGTAACGGACGCGCCAGAAGAGAAATGGAAGTGAGTTGAGTGGAAAGAAGGGAAGAGAAACAAAGTCGCCCACTTATTACAGAAGCAGGACGAAAAAGAGAAGCAGAAAGGACAGGATGGAGCGAGAGATGAAAAATCAACCAAGACTATTGTAAAGATCAAGGAGCCTGAGTGAGGTTGCTGCTGACGGGGAAGGGAAGAGAGGGATGCTGATATAAGAGAGAGGTACATAACTGAGGGAGCGAGGTGCCTGTGAGGACGCGGGCCTGGATCCAGGGAATAAAAGAATGGACCAGCTTAGGCGGAAGCCAAGATACTTCTTTCTCTAAAACAAGAGGACAGTGAATGCGGAGTTCAGATGGCAATATATTTTGAAGTGATGGAATCCGCACCTGGGCATCTTCATTTTGTCCTCCACTGAAAGGGAGAGTGTGGGTGGTGGGACAGGGACTTTCGAAGGAGGCGAAATCAAAAGGAAATTGGAGGAGAGACCTCAGAGGGGCCGAAAGTCGGGTGTGCTAGGGGATGCTCCTGGGAAATTGACCTTTCCTCTTCCCAGCTTCCAGGAAAAGACTCGGGACTGTTTCCAGGCAACGGAACTGGCTCCCAACCAGTTTCTCCACAGTACTCAGGTGACAGAGGGGTGCCCGAGGGATCCACAGAGCCCCACAAGATTAGCTGTGGCTTCCCAAACCTGGCGGGACCGTCCACACCTGCGCGTCCCTAAGGGGGACTCTGGGGCTGAGTGTCACACTCTGGGATGATTCTGAGCTACTTCCGGCTTTAGGCATTGGCGTCTGTAGATTTCATCGCCATGGGGTTTAAAGAAAGGCTACACCCTCTCACCAGGCCTCTTGGCATCTCTCAGTCCACCTCATCTCCAGCTCTTGGGACAAGCAGAAGCAGAGCTGTCCAGAGTGTCCACAACAGAACGTGTCATGCTGCGGCTAGAGCTGGAGTTTTCTCCCAGCACTGCCTTCCCATCCCTCCCAGGCACGCCGGTCCCACTCCCAGGATTCACTGACATGAGATTGCCATGGCATATGGCTTCATAGATGGTGGAATTTAGATCCTCTCTTTCAAGGAATGGTTCTCAACTGGGGGCGAATTTGTCCCCCCACCAAGGAAGATTTGGCAATGTTTAGTTGTCACAAATGGTGCTACTGGCCTCCAGTGGATAGAGGTCAAGGATACTGCTAAAAATCCTACAGTACAAAGGACCTCAGAAGGTCAGTCATGCCAAGGGTGAGAAACCCTGCTTTAAAGAGTCCCTGCTCTTAAAGGACCCTTTAAAACTTTGCTAAAATCCACTTAAGGGTTATTTATAATTTGAGGTTTAGGGCTGAGACTAATGAAGAAAATACCAGACAAGTGGGTGAGGAACGGTAGGGTTTCTGTATTTCCACCAGATGGCGCCAAAACACAAGTCAAAAATCCAACCTCCAGCCTCCATTTCAGAATCCAGTTTCTCTCCGTGGTCAGCTCTCTGGAGTAACAATTGTTACTTTTTAAGTGCTTAATTTTCTTCACCATCAATATTTTCATGCAGGTGAATTACAATGAATGATGATGAAAACTCTGCCTGGAAGATGAAAAAAACAGGGCCACCTCCTCAATCAGCTATGGAATTTCCATTCCCTGTAGCAACCAGGGTGTGGGAGAATCAGCTAGCTTCTCGCCTTCTTCTTGAGCTCGCTTTTAGCTGGGTACCTGGCAGGCAGACAGTGCCAAGATTCCTTTACCCTTAGGATGGCTGAGTGATGAAGTTCTGGCCATCAGCGGGATTTGAGCAGAAGTGTTGTAGGAAACTTAGTAGTTAAAGCAGTGGTTCTCAACTGCTGGGGTGCGGACGGAACGTGGTGCGGACGTGATGTCAACCGCCGGGGGGGGGGGGGGGGGTCATTTTGCCCCCAGGGGACATTTGGCAACGTCTGGGGACATTTTTGGCTGTCAAAACTGGGGGATGATGCTACTGGCATCTAGTGGGTAGAAGCCAGGGATGCTGCTAAATATCCTACAACACACAAGAGAGCTCCCAGAACACAGAATTATCAAGCCTCAAATGTGAATTATGCCAAGGTGGAGAAACCATACTTTAGACGGAAGTGGCATGCCCTGGCTTCACCTTTCTCCCTTCCCACCCGCTAGAAGATGCAGTGAAGCACCATCTTGGACCATGTGTGCCAAGGCATCAAACCGGGGAGTCTGGACCTACAATGTAGGTGGAATTTGAGCCCCTGGCCTGGTGGGTCTCCCTTTCGACTCTGAACACTTTACACCCAGAGAGAGAGAATATATACACACACTCATAGTACTATTGTATATAAATCATGGTAGTCCAGTAACTACTCGACCTGAAACACATCCACTCCAGGTCTGCGTTGTTCTGCTTTTACCAGGGGCCCCCTAAGCTCTTTCTCCCTGGTATCTTACCCCTCTTCTCTCTTCCCTTCCTCCTCTGATGTGGTTTCTTCCCTCTGGCAAAGACTCCACCAGGACCCAATTGATTTATCAGCCTCAATCCATCCCTGACTTCTCCTAGAAGACACCCCTGCTATCTCCCCACCCTTCTATCCACAAATATCTTAGTTCCTCCCACATCCACTTTCTGGAGGACGAATCTTGTCTAAAATAACCACCCTCAATATAAACACACTTTCTGGCCCTTACCCTGCTATGTTTTCTGCAAAGAGCTTACCATGGTGTACAGTGATGTTATTTGCTGTCTGCACTCTACTCAGTGGTGCTCATTTTAGGAGGTCAAAAACTGTCTTGTTTACCACCATATATCCAGTAAATGGAATACCGCTGTCCAATAGACATATATAATTATATATTGCATGCCCCATATAGAATGCTGAATGTTCTAGTAGCCACATTAATAAAGTAAAAAGATAAAGATGAAATTAATTTTAATCCTATATTTTACTTAACCTAAACAGTCCTTCCCTAACATGTTGTTACTATTTTAAAATGAGGTATCTCACATTCATTTTTTCAAACGAATTCTGCAATAGCCACTGTGTAATTTACCCTTCCAGCCCACCTCAGTTCAGACTACATCTCAAGCTCTTAACAGCCACGTATGGCAAGCGGCTGCAATGGACAATGCAAATATGGAATAATACTTGACACACAGTAGGCATCCAGTACTAATTTGTTAATATTCTTCTATAGTATTTGATTCTTCTTGAGTACAGGAATAACATGGTAATAATGTTCACACCATTGATAACGTCTAATTGAGTTAGCCATTTACTCTTATTAGGCATTTAAGTTGTTTCCACTTTCCACTTTTTGAAATAATTCTGCAATGAGCATCCGGTTTACGTCTGTTTTTCCTTGGAATAAATTCTCAGAAGTGAACATTCTAGTACAGAACTAGGCCCCCTTTTAGGGCTCTTGGCGCAATTTGCCAAATTACCCCGGAAAGGATTAGCCACTTAGGCTCTGAGTGATTTATGCTTGGTTATTATTGATCCTCTGCGATGCTAACAGAACAGGTATTGCCCTTAATTATTGTGATGATTTAAAAAATGTTAATTAATAGGCACCAACTTTTGTCAGCTATCACGCACCAGGCCCTGTGCACCAGGTATTTCTCACCTCTTCGGGGAGAGAACCCGAGGCTTAGGGAGGTTAATAAACTAAGCGCTAGAATCGCACTCAAACTCAGATCTGGGTGACTATTTTCAAAGCCTGGGCCACGACCGCCCTCCGTTTTAGTTTTTAAAAAAAGCAAAGGCTAACAAAACACAAGGGAACGGAAGTGAGAAAGTTCAGAGCGAAGAGTTAAATGCCAAGGAACTGTAGCGGAGGCGGAAGCCGTGCAGAAACGACTGTCGTCTTCCCGACCCACCGCCCGACTCCGAGGCACAGGAGTGCCCGCCCCCCCCCCCCCCACCGCGCCCCGAGTGCCGCGATCCGGTCACTACACCCTGCACCGGCCGTCCCCACGCTCCGCCCCGAGAGGCGGAGCCCCCATTTCGCGCCACTCCCCCTGAGTGGTGCGGAACGCGGCTAGGACGGGACGTCAACCACGGGGGCGGAACTTCCTGCGCGTCATGGCCACGTGACCCGCACCGGCCGCTCACGTCTAGTCGCCCCGGCAACATCCTCTCCCACGCACCGCGTATCCTGTTTCCCACCGGAAATAGGTCCCTGCTCGCCCACCGCCCAGGATTTGCAAGCTACGAGCTCTCGAGGTGACTCCGGGGGCGGCTGGGTATCATTTGGGAAGTGAAGGAGGCCCCTGGAGGCCCCTGACCCTGACTTTCTCTGAGGCCGGGAGAGCAGAGGGCTTGCCTGTCACGTTATCGTTGTAATTATCAGCATCCCGCTAATTGTGAGAGGGAACTGGTTCCAGAGCCCCTCGGCTCTGCCGTGCGCCAGAATCACTGGATGGTTTTTAAATGCCCGGGCCTCCATCCCAGACCCGTTAAATTCGAATTTCTAGAAGTGGGGCCCCGGCATCGGTATTTTTCTGAAAGCTCCCCATTGTGATTCTGATGTGCCAGGTAACGCTGTGTCAAGCTAGGTCTGGAAGGTGAATTCGCACTTTGCCCATCCAGCCCAGAATCAGAACAGATCACCCAGGTCAGCCTCATCCTTAGAGGGAAGCCTAGGATATTAGCCCGTCTATTCAAAAATTGGGGTTTTCTTTTCCTCTCTTTAACCTCGCACGTTGTCCTCTGTAGGAGGTCAGAGGTTTTGATGGCAGTTACCTGGAGAACATTTGGCACCTGCGGTCTTCTCTGCGCCTTACCTGTGGAGGTGGAGAATGTCTTTTCCCTCTGTTCTTCCTCAGTAGTTAAGTGAAGTTGCACCAGTGGCCAACGAAGTACCTTTTAGCTCTGAAATCCTGAGAGTCCCTTAGTACAGACCAGATGGTTCTGAACAAGTTTATTTTTTTCAGGAATGATTTTTAAAGTTGTTTCACAGGCTAGATTCTGTATTCAGCTGTTTTGCACCTCAAGTCAGAATAACATTACTTGAAAGTTTAGACTGAAGATTAATAACACAAATAGCATTTCTGGAGTTACTTTCAGAGTTCCGATGAATTATGGGGTGGGGGTAACCTTTATACGTACAGTTTTTACTAATATAGTTTATAGGAGTAACAGCCCCTTTGGGATGGCAATGTGAACAGAAACCATATATTTTCCAAGACTGTTAGCTAGTAACTTTGGATAGGCATAACTGAAGGCAAGTTCACAGTAAGGTGTACAGATCTCCTCTGAGTATTCGTTGTTGTGCTGGGAAAGGATATAAACTAAAGCTCCAGAGAGAATTTTCATTCTAAAAGTGTTTTACAGAGGGTGAAGGATTATTTTGGTTTTTAGGGTGCAACATTTAAGGATAGGGTGAAATGAGAAGAAAGGGAGGAAAACTGAACAAGTAAGCGTAGAGTAGAGGTTGGAGAATTCACAAAATAGATGCGGAACTTGTGAAACTTCCCTCCGCATTCGCGGATGCATAGGGCCGACTATACCACGCCATTTTATGTAATGGACTTGATCATCCGCGGATTTTGGTCTCTTGTCGGGGGGAGGTCCTGCAACCAATTCCCCACGAACACCGAGGGACGTCTGTACTTCTCTACAATAGGAAATCCAGCTATAGAACAGTGTAAAAAAGTGAACAGGTGAAAAAAGAGCGTAACTTGTTGATCAAAGATCAGATGATTTGAAAATATCTTTGAAAACATATTAATGTATTTAGATATCTACTTTCCGAAAAGATTTGGAGCTTTATAGCCAGAGTTATTTGAGTTACTAGCTACTCAATGATTTTAGGGAGGGTAGAGGTTGCAGGAGAGTGTTAACAGGAAATGGCGATCCCAACAGCATCGAAGGGCAGGAAATATTAGCTATGACTTTTTTATGCTGGAAGGAAAAAAGGAAATTTAAAAGGAACAGATGGCAGAATCCAGGCCTACAAGTAATTGATTAAATGGCCAAATGAAAGGGGCATAGTGAGTGCCGTTTAAATTCAGAAAAGAGAGATTAACGTGGAATTACCCTGTATGTGTTTATGGAAGGAAAATTTGAAATAAGGTTCCTGACATCCAGTGGTGACTTTAACCACTTTAAACCAGTCGTGGTTTATGCTCTTAACTTGTATTACCTACCTGTCCAACCCTTATTCCTTCATGGTCACACTAGGTTTTGCTGTTTGAAGAATATACTTGCAATGAGGGGAACTTATCTGTTTCCTCTTTTGCGTTGTATTCTGTCCTTGTCGGTTACCCCAATTTTCAGCTTTCACATTGCCTGTTGTGTTCAAGAGTCAAGGGGTAACCTTGTTTCGGGGCTGTCCTCGTATTTCACTTCTGATTCTTATGTTAGTCACATGGGGATTTGGTGAACTTGCAAATAAATCCATTCCCAAATCCATCACCCTTGCTGACAAATTAAACGGTGCCGTTCTATGGGTGGAATATGGTTTGTATGAAAAAGAAGAATTGCTAACTACGTCCTTTCAGCCATGAAACTTTCAGCCAAGGAACTACGTTCCTTCCCCATGCTGTGCCTTCATTGTGACCTTGCTTCTTATTGCAACAGCCAGAAGAGTAAATTGGGGCTTGGGGTCGAGAGAATGAAAGGGAAATGAAACTCAGGTTTGAGGCTCCCTCACCCATCAGTTTTAACTGTTATAGGTGGACAGAGGCAGGCCTTCTAAACACAGTAGCTTGTGCGCTTGTAGGAGGCCTGTGTCTGGAGGAAAGATGGAGCTTGGACTGCTGAGGCTGGGAAAAGGCCTTTCAGACTTGAGCCATCTCTGATGTCTGAATCACTAAGCCGGGACCACGCCAAGCCACAGGAGGGAGCCTCTGAGGGCAGCAAGCCAGCTGAACTTGCCAGCCTCAGATCGAAGCTGGGGGTGATGGCAAGAAGCAGTGCTCTCCAAAAAAACCTCATTTTCTCATTTGTCTTAGTTGAGGAAGTTCCTACCAGTGTGTGCGTTTACTGGGAGACATCTTCTCTGATAGGGTTATTACCGCATATACCGAGATTCCGTAGAACTGCGTATGACTCAATGTATGTAATTCAGATTTCTCACCATACCGTCATTTATTTTGAGCCATCTCCAGCAGACCCCGTTTCTTCTACTTTGAAACTGTGTATACTGAAGGCCCAATTAGATCCCCCCAATTCTCTGGTTGGCTCAGAGAACCAAATTAGGGAGAGCCTTATGGGAAAGTTGTGTATCTTATTTAATGACCAACGTTGAACGTGTTTCTATGCAAAAATCAAAGCCGATGAATTTTCATGTATTTAATTTTCAGAATTCTAGTGGAAAAGGAGGATAGAGAGGAAAATCCAGTTACAGAGGATACATTATCATTTCGAAGGGAATTTGTGTTTTATTTATCTGGTTGCTATGATGCATCCTAGATCCTATACTTATAAGAATCTAAATAGGCAGTAAAAAGAATTTGTACAAGGAATTCCCTGGTGGTCCAATGGTTAGGAGTCCGTGCTTCCACTGTCCGGGGCACAGGTTCAATCCCTGGTCGGGGAACTAAGATCCCACAAGCTGTGCAACTCAGCCAAAAAAAAAAAAGGACAATGTCACTACCTTTCAACAAAGCCACATTCCTTATTGGTGGCAATGTTTAATGACTCAATGGAAATAGTCACATTTTGTCCATTGAAAACCACAAAGCTCATGTCTGTTGTTGTTAGTGTATATTTATGCATTTAAAAATGTGTCTCCCAGGATAAGCAGAGTCATTGAAGAATGAGTGCAGTTTTTAAGAAAGGCTATACGGAAAAATATATCATTGGAGACCCAGAGGCACTGCCTTTTGCCTGTGGGCCTCAGCAGTGTTTCGTGAATGACCTCAACGCTGTTTTTTTCCTTCCTCTTCTGGTGGCTGAGGACAGACAATGAATTCGGGCTCTGTACTCGCCCAGGCTCAGCTGGGCAGTGACTGTCGTGCCATTGTCCTCCCTGGGGAGGGCTGCCCAGTTGGTAGTGCCGTGAATCCCGGCCTTCCCTGGCATTGGCCCTCTCTTCTTTCAGCTCCACCACCCCACTAGGAGAAAAGTCGCTGTGCAGTACACAGAGCCAGGCGCCAGAAAAAAGTACGAGACACTCTGGGGAGGTGGGGAATGAAAGATAAAATTAAAAACCACTGAAAGGGCAGCTCAGCCTGCTGCTACCTCAAGCTTTCTCTCCTTTGAGCTGGTGGTGGTGTGTGACAGTACTGCTATAGTGTCTAGAATTATTTTAACGTTGGCTTTTCAGAAGCCCAGGCATTTTTATTAGGTCCTTAAGCTCCTTTGTGGAACCCAGTTTTGAAAAGCTAACAGGGCCCATTCTTAGAGTAGGGTCTCACTTTCCCTTGGGTGCTAACTGATGCGGTCAGCCGGGAAGGATATGGGTTCCTTCTTCCAGGGAATAAACACTCGGGACTCTCTCCTGCTTCCCAGTTCCTGCTTCCCGTCCTTGTTGGGTTCCTGCCTAGCCCGGGGCAGCTCCTAGAATCTCCATCAGAAATCACGGCACTACATATGCTTTCTAAGCCCTGTTGATTGATCCTGTTTTGCAGGAGTTAGGGTGGGTTGTTTTTTGTTTTTCTTAATTAAGTCCTTAAATGTCTCTGGAGCTCTTTAAGAAATGGTCCGATTTGCTTATTTAGTCACAGAGAGGATTCTTTTGTCCCCAGTATTAGGAACTGGTCACCAAATTGCTATTGGTCATAATCACAGTTTTCTTGCTTCCACTAGTCTTATTCTGAGCCTAATAACTTATGAGATGGGTGAGAATCTCAGAGTTCCTCCACTGATTTGCAAGTGCAAAGCGAGGAACGATTAGGATGCTCAACATACTGAGGGCAGAGTCTATGGAGCCTCGTAATGGATTAACATAAAGCAGGGGTGGCCAAGTGATGGCCCACGGCTAAGAATGATGTTTACATTTTTAATAGGTTGTTTTTTTAATTTTAAAAAAAAGTACGGCTATGTAACAGTATATGTGACACACAAGCCCAGAATATTTACTATTTGGCCCTTTAGAGAAAAAAATTTGCTGGTGTAAAATACCAACAGTAATACTGGAAATAGCAAGCTCATAATAAAGTTCTATGCAAGCCGCTCTTTCTTTGGATGTGTTTTTTTATACTTTTTCTTTCTTTCTTTTTTTTTTTTTTTTTTGGTATGCGGGGGCCTCTCACTGTTGTGGCCTCTCCCGTTGCAGAGCACAGGCTCCCAACGCGCAGCCTCAGTGGCCATGGCTCACGGGCCCAGCCACTCCGCGGCATGTGGGATCCTCCCGGACCGGGGCACGAGCCCGCGTCCGCTGTATCGGCAGGTGGACTGTCAACCACTGCGCCACCAGAGAAGCCCTATACTTTTTCTTACTTGATTTGAGAGGGGCTGATTAATTTGTCATTCATTCTCAGGATTATTTTGTTCAACTTGAAGAAAACTTTATTTATTATTTTTATTGAAGTATAGTTGATTTACAATGTTGTATTAGTTTCAAGTGTACAGCAAAATGATTCAGTTATATATTCTTTTTCAGATTCTTTTCCCTTATAGGTTATTACAAAATACTGAGTAGAGTTCCCTGTGCTATACAGTAGGTGCTTGTTGGTTACCTCTTTTATATATAGTAGTGTGTATATGGTAATCCCAACCTCCTAGTGTATCCCTCCCCCCCCTTCCCCCTTTGGTAACCTTAAGTTCGTTTTCTGTCTGTGGATCTCTTTCTGTTTCGTATATAAGTTCATTTATTATATCATTTTTTTTTTTAGATTCCACATATAAGCGATACTCTTTTTAATTGAGTATCTACAGGATTTTAGGAATCTTAAAGATACTTAAAATGTAAAAGGATGTGATAGATAGGTTTTGGAATTTGGGGAGGGAAAATAATAAATCCAAGGGTAACATGAGCGGCATATTGAACGTAGAGCCTGAGGACTCTAAACGTGCTGTAAGATGGCAGCAGATCTGATTATAAGTGTTCCAGTGGCCAAAGCAATGAGAAAAGCATAATCAGAAGAAAATCGATGACAAAGGTGCCTGTGTTCCATGATTAATGTAAATTCATCTTTCCTTAATGGCCTGCGTCTTAAAAGAGGTCAGCATCTCGGCAGATTAGTTGATATGCTTTATAGGTAGTCAGCAGCCTGCGCTGAATCTGAACGGCCTCTGGTCCGAATGCTGGGACTGGCTTTCTTCAGCCACCCCAGCTCTTAGTCCTGGCTGCTTTCTTGCAAAAGTGCTCAGAGTGCCTTTCGTGATTTCTGACGCAGTGGAACATGGCAGCCCTTCTATCAAATTATTTGTTGAATCAAAGGCATAAGTAAGTAACCACTCCTCAAATTAGCACTCCCATCCCTTTTTAATCACAGCCATTGGCATTTGAACAGCCTGGGGCACTCATTGAATTACACTTGAACCTCTTAAACAGTTGTTTACTCTACCATGCATGCCTAACTTCTAGCTCTGCAGAAGGGAGCCTCTCATAAGCCATCTTGTGCATTTTCAGAATACTGGTACTACTGCTTCTAAAGCCAGGCTGGATTTTCCCAGTTATAAATAAAAACAGGGTCGTCTGAGGTCTGCAGTAGTGTTCAGTCACAATGATATTTATTATATATCTGAAGCTGTCAGATCTCCCAGTTCGAGATAATTAATATTTACATTGATCTGGTTTTAAGTACATATTTTATAAAGCATAGAAGTCTGGATTCAAAACTCTTGATTTCCCCAAGATGCGCAGATGTCTCATAGGCTTTTTTAATTTAATTCCTATGCTAATTGTTAATCTCTAAAACAAATTTGATTAAGATACACATGGAGTTCACTTTAATGTCATTTTGTGCTTCAGGCACTCAGAAAGCTGTTCAGATTTCAGTGGTAGACATATAAAACCTGGCTGGAGTGAATTAGCCGCTTAAAGGCTGTACCTTACACTTTAGCACTCAAGTGTATACTGATTTCTACTGTAATTTCTTTTGTGTTGGTTTTACTCCTGTAGGTGGTTAGCCCCTTAGTTGTGTTGACTGTTTTTAATGTGTATTTCTTCGGTAGCCTATAAAGCACAGCAGTTAGCCAGGCTTGCAGATAATTGTTTATGTTTTAAGCCTCTAAATTATAGTTGTAGTGTGAACAGTAATTTACACTTGTATTTTCACTGTATTTGTTAGCTTTTCCCCAGTTTACATTCACTGCATGTGTGTGTGTTTGTGAATTTAGAACAGGGAACAGGAAGTGTGGGCTGTGTTTAAGAGAGATTTACAGAAGACCATGTCAGCCCTCTTGGAAATACCGTCTTTGAAAGCTTATTATATTTAAAAAGAATGTGAATCGTTCTCTTTAGGCTAAATCTTAAAAGATGTGGTCAATTTAACATCTCAGTGTTCCGCATTAACCATAGCAAAACATCTGCTGGAGATTACAAAATAAGTCAAGTTTATTTCTTAAGGCTTGGAGATTTTAAAATTCTACCCTATAATTAAGTAAAGTAGGAAAAATAGGACTCCTTCGGTATCTGATTTCCAGAGTTTCAAAACCCAAGGACCTGTTTGCTCAGCATCACATTGTGTTAGGGGTTTTGTCTCATAGATGCTTAAATTCTCATACATTTTAGGCTATTGCTTTTGTTTAACTTTTTTTTAAAGTACATTCTGGTGTCAGCTGGCACTTGAGCATCTCTGAACCCTTGAACAGAAGGGAAAAAAGTGAAGTGTGTTTTAAATAGGTTGTAAAAGGTGCAGATGCAGATTAAACTTTACTTTGAGTTGCTCCCTGCCATATCAGTAAATCACAAGAGGTAGATAGCACGGAAGGGAGTAAATCCTGGCAGAACAAGGCTGTAGGGCAAAGGTATTCTACGTGGTCACTTGGTGGAGTCTCTATAAGGCCAACTGGCCCGAGGCAGGGGAACAAAATCAGATTCACAGGTTGCATCAGACCGAAATTCTCCGGACCACCCAGTTCCAGAAACTGCCCTGGAGGCATTCCGGACCACCCAGTTCCAGGAACTGACCTGGGGACTTTGAACCCAGCCCAGCCTTCCCGCCTTTCGAGGGGCGGGACTAACGGTCCCCCAGGATACCTGAAAAGACCACCAAATAAGGAATACCCTGCGCCCTCCCAGATTCACCACACCCCTTTCCCTTCTTCCCCTATAAAATCTTGCCCAACCCTCGCCCGGGTGCGACTTCTCTGGCCCTTTTCTCTCGGACCAGTGAACCTCGCCCGGGAGCGCTCCCTAATAAAGCTCACTTGAAGCTTTCCTCTGTTTTGCGGTGCCGTTTGTTAAGATCCGACCTTACAGTCTCCAAGCGACCAGTTCCTCCTCCCGCAGAGACGCAGTGTGGGTAGGCAGGGAGTGTTGTGTCACATGCTGGCTGAAAGATGCTTTTTGCAGTCAAAACCAAAGCAAGGTGCATTTGAGGGGCTTAAAGCCCAGGGTACAACCCAGCCGAGAGAGTTGTTTTATTTAGAGAGGCTTCTCCGAGTCCCAGGCCTGCAGCAAGACCCAACAAAGGTTTCCAGTGAGTTGGCAAGATGTATTCTACTCTACTCAGGCCTCTGGGAGATCCAGGGTTAATTTATTTTATTTTTTTATTAACTTTTTTTATATATAAATTTATTTGTTTAATTTTTAGCTGCAATGGGTCTTTGTTGCTGTGCGCGAGCTTTCTCTAGTTGCGGCGAGCGGGGGCTACTCTTTGTTGCGGTGCGTGGGCTTCTCATTGCGGTGGCTTGTCTTGTTGCGGAGCACAGGCTCTAGGCACGCGAGCTTCAGTAGCTGTGGCTCGCGGGCTCTAGAGCACAGGTTTCAGTAGTTGTGGCTCACGGGCTCTAGAGCGCAGGCTCAGTAGTTGTGGCACACGGGCTTAGTTGCTCCGCGGCATGTGGGATCTTCCCGGACCAGGTCTCAAACCCATGTCCCCTGCATTGGCAGGCGGATTCTTAACCACTGCGCCATCAGGGAAGCCCTCCAGGGTTAATTTAAATAGGCATTGGCATGAACTATGGGTTAGTAAATAAAGTAATAGTTGTACATTTTTAGTTCATGTTCCGTGTATTCTTTTTTACATACATATGACTAGCTATTTATGTGGTTACTGTCGTGGGCTTTACTTTCAATAGAGAAACAAGTACTATACTTGAAAAGTGCAGTGTCCTTTGAGCCACTGAATCACACCTAAGGGGATCCCTCCTTTTCAGACCACTAGCCCAGGTGTCGGTGCTGTCGTGGTGTGTTGCGTGAAGATCAGGCACCATCCTGGGGAGACAGCAGCCTCTGAGGAGCTGCTATGCAAACTGCAAAATAGCTATGAATATCACAGCCCTGGACTGACCAGACGTCTGCACTCTGCTTGTTCTTTCCTAGCTTCGGCGCTCGTTTGGACTTTCACAATCAGAGATGGCAGCAGAGGTAAGTTTTTTTTTTTTAACTGATGAGATAAAAGGTAAGTTTTAGTCGTTAAGGTCTTGGTGTCTCATTGCGTGATGGAGAAGACCAAAGAAATACATCAGAAAACTAAAGGTAGAGCACCATCGGGTGCGTTGCTCGTCATCTTTTGTCCCAGGCACTGAGGAGTGGGCCGCCAGCACGTTTAGGGGGCAGAGAGGGAGGGACCGGAGATCATCATGTTCACCAGTTCATGTGGTTCTTGGCAGGCGTTTCTAACTTGGAATTAGTCATTTAATCACGGTGGGTAGAAAGGCCCAAGATGATAGACATCGGGTCCTCTTGCCCCCTGCGTCTCATCTAGAAATGATCATTATTAGCCTCTGTCCCCACTTTATAATGGGCCGTAACCTCAAACTAATTGTTCCCTGTGTGCCTCATGCGCGTGTACTTCAGAGCAAGTGTGCACTGCCTGGCGCCCATCGTGGGCGTGGACCCGTCTTATATTCTCCTTGGGCCCGTAGCACCTTCGTGGAGAGGAGATATTTAGTAGATACGCAGTAAACACCCGGTTAGTTGATTGAACGTTTGAAGGTTTCTCTTGAGGCTGAACCACGTGCTGTCTAGCCTACATTTTTTTTTGTTTTGTAGCCGGCAACAGCGCTAGCTCTGGAGTCTTGGCCCTCTCATCCGGTCTACGCAAGATACTGGCAACATTACCATCAAGCGATGGCGTGGATGCACTGCCACCAGAATGCCTATCGGAAGGCCATGGAATCTTGCTTCATGTCCCCGTGGTACTCTTCTGCCATGGGCCTTCCCCAGAGCGCTTATGCTCAGGAGGGCAGAAGGCCTCAGTCCTGCTACGAGCATCCCCCAGCCTCCTGGAACTCCCACCACAGTCATTCACATGCTGGCGGGCGTGGACCACATCCACGTGGCAGAGAAGAGCCAGCTTGGTACGCAGAGGAGGAGAAGGAGAAAGAGAGCGAGTCCGACGATGGTGGCATAGAATGCGACGTGAGCAACATGGAGATCACGGAGGAGCTACGCCAGTACTTCGCCCAAACCGAGAGGCACCAGGAGGAGCGCCGTAAGTGCAACCCGCCCTTTTCCACGGCCCCGCCCCGGGCCTTGTCTGCTGCCCACATTTATTTTTATTTATTTATGTTGGCTGCCCTGGCTCTTACTTTTTGCACGCAGGATCTTCATTTCAGCACTCGCTGGCCTGCAGGCTTCTTAGTTGTGGCATGCATGCCGGATCTAGTTCCCCAACCAGGAATTGAACCCAGGCCCCCTGCTTCGGGAGCGTGGAGTCTTACCCACTGGACCACCAGGAAAGTCCTGTCCTGCCCTCATTTACAACCTTCTAAGTCCTCCCTTGGGTACAGATAATATTTCAAACCCAATCCTAAGCCTGGAAAAGCTCTCGTGATGTGGTACCTCACTTATATTAGTTTTCAGGGTTGTTTTAATATAGGACTTTTTTTTTTTTTTAGTTCTAGAACAAAACTTATCCTAATAGTACCTCTGCCATTTACTGAATTTCAGACACTACACCAGATGGAGTGTGTGTGTGTGTGTGTGTGTGTGTGTGCGCGCGCGCGCGCGCGCGCACATGTGTGCGCATTCCCTAGTCTACACAACAGTCCCTCAAAGTTTTAAGCCCATTTCACATATAAGGAAAGTGAGCCTTCAGGAGCTTCATTGACTTGTTCTGTGGTATCAACTAGTAATTTGCTGTTAGGATTCAAAGCAAGGTGTGTGTGACTCCAGTTCCTGTGCTCGTTCCTCTAGCACACACTCAGGGCTTAGGACCACTAGGTTCCTAAAATGCTGCTGCCGCCTCACTGGTGCACAGCTCAGAGACTGCCCTGGTGTTGCAGAGCTACCGGGTCTTAAATCTTAGCTCCCTCCAGAGTAGACACCAGTGCGAACCTAAAAAGAATAACAAAATGCCTGGTATTTACTCTCTCCGGTTTGATTCTGTGCCATGGCTGTCTGTTCCTGGGGTTAGAGAATTGTGATAATGGTCTTAAATCTTCAGTCGGAAAGCAGGAATTTTATGTTTTTAATTTCTTACTAACTTGCCACAAAAAACTAAAACTGCTTTTTGTGCTTTCCTTACTGTTAAGATTCACCAGCCCATTTATATTTTCAGTGTCTCTAACAGACATACAGATGCTTTCCTCCCTATTACAACATGCCATCTCAATATTGTTTTTATTGAGTTCTAATTATATATTTTGCCTAGAATTTTCTAGTAAACGGAGACATAGAAGCCTGGGGATGGGTGCATTTCATTTACATCTTGATTGATCTGTGTTTTCCTAATGATGGGCGAGCATGTATTGATTCCCCCACTGGGTGCCAGGAACTGAGCAATGGGCTGTGTATAAAGTCTCATGCCCTTTAGTGTCTGCCTATGATTCTTCACTACTCATTCAGTTTTACTTCCCTTCTTTTGATTAAACCTTTGACTTCTTTGATGCATATTAGAAAGTATATGCAAACAAGTATTTTTAAAACAGTACTTTCTATTACACATAGAATGCATGTCTTTCCTTGATCTTCGGGAATAAATTTTACCTTTTTTTCAAAATACATTTGAAATAACTGTTAGTCTAATTTAAAAGCATGTAACAGATGAGGGAGACTTGGCATTGGAGCATGTCCACGTGTGGTTGGAATGCTGTTTGTTACAGCTTTTGAAAAAGAAAATATGATGGAGACAGGGCTTGTTTCTGTTGTCCATACCCAAAGGCAGAAGAACATGTTTTTCCTGCCGGAGAGAGTGCCACATTTATGATAGAAGTTGTAATTAAGGATGGGAGCAAACCCCAGCCATCTAAAAGGCCATTTTGAATGACCTGCTAATTTAAAATAAACCTGACAGAGTTATTCAATGAAAAGTAGAGATGAATGATGTGAAAATAGAATAATGAAATGTGTCCTTCACATGTCAGTTGAGTTACAGATGTCTGGTTAAGAACCATCCCTGTTTCTGCGTCTTGCCTTTGTCAGGTAGGTTAAGAAAAAGTCATGAAAATTGCCTGCTAAGTTTTGCGTGGCACTTAATATTATTTTGAATGAATGAATGAAGTCTTTCAGTATTAATTATGAGCCTTAAATCAGAACTTTTCAAACCTTATCCCATGAAGTGCTAAACTTGCTGTGGTTCTTTGAGCCATTTTACAAGGTGATGTAGGCATTGAATATTTTATAAACTTGAGGAACTGCATGTTTCGTTTGATATCATCCCTAAATCTGCTTAGTTGACATCAGGGCTCCAAGTCCTATTATTATCGTCATTGTTATGGGTTGAATTGTGTCCGCTAAAAAAAAGATTTGTTGGAGTCCTAAACCCCACCCAGACCTCACGATGTGACCTTATTTGGAGAGAGGGTCTTCACAGAGGTAACAAGTTAAAATGAGATTAGGGTGGGCCCTCATCCAGTATGACTGGTGTCCTTATAAAAAGAGAAAAATTTGGAAACAGAGACAGATGCGCACCCAGGGAGAATGGCACGAGAGGACTGGAGTTCTGCTGCCACAAGCCAAGAACTGCTAGAAGCTGGGAGAAAGGCCTGGAACAGACCTTCCCTAGCGCCTGTGGACGGCCATGGCCCTGCTGACAGCTTGATCTCAGACTTCCGGCCTCCCCAGCTGTGAGACAAGACATTTCTGTTCTAAGGCACCCAGTGTGCTGCACTTTGTTACAGCAGCCCTAGGAAACCAATACAATCACCCTGGCAGAATTTTCTTTGTTTCCAAATGCAGTCTGTGAGTGGGACGTAAAGTGAACCACGCAGGTCTTGTCATTGCTGTGAAGAAAATCTGGTACATGTTTGTTTTACCGTGATCTAGATAGCGAACCAACAAAAAAGGGAATTTTATGGAAACCCTTACAACCTCCATCCCTACTCACCAGTACTTACATTATTGTTAGTAGAATTATACAGGAGTAGCTGTGGCAGGACCGCTGGAATCACAGGCTTCCAGCCCCACTCCAGCACTTACTAGCTGGAGGTTCTTATCCTGTGCACCGCTACCCTGTGCCTCAGTCTCCTCATCTGTGAAATGGGGATTCTAATGAATGGGATGCTAACTATGAAGATTAAATGAGATAAAAGTTATACAACAGTGCTCTGTACGGAAGTCAGTGCCCAAGGAGTGTTACTTGTTATGGTTTGTTGCTAATAACTCATCCTTTAACATGGATTATTAACCATGAACTAGTTTTACTCTGATACTGTCTTGATTAGTGCTTGATTGTTATTTTTTTGATTGAAGTATAGTTGATTTACAGTGTCATGTCAATTACTGCTGTACAGCAAAGTGACTCAGTTATACACATATACACATTCTTTTTCATTTTCTCTTCCATTATGGTTTATCACAGGATATTGAATATAGTTCCCTGTGCTCTACAGTAGGACCTTGTTGTTTATCCATCCTATATATAAAAGCTTACATCTGCTAATCCCAAACTCCCACTCCATCCCTCTCCCACCTCGCCTCCCTCTTGGCAACCACAAGTCTGTTCTCTATGTCCGTGAGTCTGTTTCTGTTTCATAGATGAGTTCGTTTGTGTCATAGTTTAGATTCCACATATAAGGGATATCACATGGTATTTGTCTTTCTCTTTCTGACCTCACTTAGTGTGATCATCTCTGGTTGCTGATTGGTGAGTGCTTGATTAAGATTCTGCGTATTTTTAATAAAGTATTCTCTGACTTCGAAAAAAAAGAAGTCATATATTTCTGCCCTAGGCAGCACTTTTCAAACTCTTAAATTGATTTAGAATATTTAAAACATAAAAGAATGAAAAGCTTTGAGATCTGTCAAATTGAGCCACTAATACAATTTTGTCAAAGTAGTCATTACCACAACTTTTAGTTCTGTTTCAAGGACATTCTTGCTTGATATAAGTTAATATAGTAAACTACACGGGCTGGGGAAATGAACCTGCTTCCACCTTCCTCATAACAGCACTAAACGCATTGAGCTTCCGCTACTTTGTGCTTTAAAAACGTGTAATTGTAGCATAATTCAAAATTGCTTGTGCTGGGATCTCTGATGCCCTTGTGTCCTGCAGTCCGCCCTGAAAGCTTTATCAGGTCCCCGGGAGACATGAGTGTTGTCTGGCGAGGGTGAGAACAGGGCTTTGGTGTCGGAATCTAATCTTCCTGCAAAAGATGCGGTCTCTGTGAGAAGCAGCCGCCAGGCCCTGACACTGCCCCACCAAAAATAATGGGCAGCACTTCACCAGCGCTAGGTTTTTCACCAGCACTTTCAGTGGCGTATAGGATCAATTCGTGTTCCTTCGAGCAGTCATGAATGATGGCATTCAGACATAAGTAATTGGAATGCCCATGGTGCTTTCCAATCCATTACCTTCGCTAGAAATGCTCACAGAGGTTTAGTTACATACACAGTTGGGAAATGTTTGAATAAAGAGATGAGGGACCTGAGTCATGTGAATACTCGGTTGAAGTTGTTTTGCTCTTTGAGCCACTAGAAGCTACTTATTCAATTAGGACAAATTCAGCCCTGAACATGAATCATTTAGAGAACACAGATTGTATAAAATATTACTAGCAAGGGAAAATGTAGCTAAACTTGAAAGATACAGCTTTTCAGGACTATTCACCTCCAAAGGAATGTGTACATTATATAATTCATCTGTGTCTTATTTAATACCTTCTTGGGATGAAATCCTTTAGGCTGGACAACGTGTTCTTGTTTGTGGTTACCATTCCTCCGGACAGTCTCTAATTTCACATATTTCAGCAATAAAAACCAAAAAAATATTAAGTAGGGTAAACAAAGAACTCTTTTTTGTGCAGCAGTAACAGGCATGCTTTTGATTATATTATATGTCATCGTTTCCCAGCGAGATATTGCTGTTATCTAAAACTTCACTGGTAACATTACTTACGGGAAAGTAGACAGTTGTGAAGTTTTAAAAGGTCAGCTGTGTTGTCAGTTATTTCTTAGGAAAAATGTTTATTGTTAGGTTAAGGAAGGTATCATTTTATGGTCATAAATAACCATCAGTTGAGACTGCGAGGTCCTCATCCTAATACTTAG